ATAAAAATTAAAAAATGCTTGAAACAAAAAAAAAAACAAAAAAAACAACCAAAAAAAAAAAAAAAAAAAAAAAAAAAAAAAAAAATTCTAATAATTTAAAACAATTAAATAATAATTCTAACCAATACTAATTTTATATAAATTTAAACTAAATAGAAAAAAATCGAAGAGGGAAATATATTTATGCCACCAACAAACAAAGAATTTGATGAAAATGATTTAAATAATTTTGAGATATTTAAAATATTTTGAATATATTTGCATTAATTTATAATTTAATATTTATTATATTTATAAATAATTCGCTTATATTCACAATAATTTGAATTTATTAAACTTTAATAATTAATATTAAAATAATTTCATTTATTTAGATATTGATAACAAATTGGGCTTGACAATTTGTTAATATTTTTCAAAATTATTCACCATCAGAACTAAAATATCTAAAATTACATTCATAGATATACTATACGACCGATTTAATTAAAAAATATAGTTCTTTAAATAGATTTTCAACTGAAACCTATGAAAGTCTACATAAAGATTTTGTTAAAAAACTATATTATTTAACAAATAAACAGAATGTGGAAATTTAAATAATGAAAATGGTAATTATTATTTGTTTTTTTCTAATAATATTTATAGTAATTATAAAAAATAACTTAATTATTTCAAATTAAATAGGTTCAAAGGCAGGCTATTGTAACAAAATTATCATCAAACAAATCAACAAAAAGTATTAGAACTATTAATGCTTATAAATTTACAAATTTAATTTGAAAATTTAGTTTGAACAATGCACATGAATATATTAACCAACAGTAAACTATTATTCTTCTAATTCTAAAATATATATAGGATTTTAAAATTTTTTAAACTGTTTAAATTTATATTTTGATACAACAAATCAAACTAATTTAAACAATTATATAGTTAAAATATATAGTTCAATAACTTTAGAAAATGGTTCTATAATTAGAGCCACAGATAATTTTTATAGCAAAGCCTGGTATAGCAATATATTAGTTGCTATGAATTCTGATGAACTATTAGAATATTTATCAGATCAAGGAATTTGTTATGGACAGGTATTTGTTGTATTTTAATTTTTTAAATATTTCAAAATATTAAATTTTAAATATTTCATTTTTAGATATATTTATTAATCAAAGTTGAAACTACTGAAGTGAATCTGCATAACCTCGCATTAATTCGGTGGTATGATTTTAAGTCTACAAAGAATCCATATTATTATGGTTGTCCCAGACTTAAATTAACAGAATTATATAACATTATTAATATTGAAGCAATTAGAAATCAAGTTCATATAATTTCCCGCTTTAACAAAAATAATGATTATTTAGTAAATAAATATATTTTTTAATAAAAATAATAAAATATTTTAAAAAATTCGCATATATTTAAATAATCACAAATGTTATATATTTAGAATATATAGAACAAATTCTATTTAATCATAATTATTCATATTAAATTAGGAATAATTTCATTATGCTAATATTATTTTATAATAAAATAAAGTAATAAAATAAATTCGAAAATATTCAAAATATTTATAATAAATATTATTATATTCTATAATGAAAGTATATAATATATACTTGTTTAAAATAGAAGAATTGTATATATTAAAAAAATAGATTATATTCAAATATATTCACAATAATTTAAATATTATAAAAATTATATTTATTTATTTAACATATTATTAAAATAATTAAAAATTAATAAATTTACTGAATAAAAATATATATAATTATAAAATATAAAAATAAAATAAAAATTATAAAAAATTTAAAAAAAATTTAAAATCTATATCCACCATCAGAACTGTAATACTCAGATTCTATATTAACAATATCTTGAGGATTTTCAAGATTAGGATTTTGAGGTAACTCTCAACTAGACCCAGGTCTTGAACTACTAGGCCCAGATAATGCGCCTGTATTCGAACCTGAACCCCCTCCTCGTGGTTCTTCTTGAGGGACTAGTATATCCGGAGCAGGGTCATGTCTTGGCCTTTTGCCTCTCTAAAATAATTAAAATTTTGTTAATATAATTTTTTATAACGATTTATTATAATAATTTATTTTATTTACCTGAGTTGATTGTGCAATTCTTCGCTTATTACCCCTTCCGCGTAGCTATTAAAGATTAATTTAAGATAATAAAACTTAAAATAACAAATACCTAAAAAAAAAATACTTAC